CGGAGCGCGAGGCGTCTCCGGGCCGCAGGGCTGCGGGGCTGGAGGCTCTGCAGGACACGGAGACCCCGGTGCTGCTGCTGCGGGAGCGGGCGCCGAGCGGGAGCCCCTCTTCCCTGGGCAGCTCCCGCTGGCGGCCGGGAAGGAGCGGGCGAGCGGCGCCCTGCGGAGCTGCCTGGAAATGCGTAGTGTCGTGATATGGAATGTGGTGTTTCACAGGAATCGATTCCTTCTGCTCAGACGGACAAAAAACTGGCAATCTGTACAAACTCAAAAGAATCCATTTTCAGAAAAATAAATTACTAAGGGGAGAGGAGGGTCCATTTCTCAATAAATATGTGATTCAGCTCACCTAAGACTTGAAAATTATCTGGGGACGGGATTCTAACATTTGGGTCCACAAAGGTTATTCTAAATACATCTGCATCCCCAAACCTCCCCAGGCTCCCTTCTGCCCTTGAAAGTCCCACATCCTTCCAAGCTGCAGGTTTGGCTTCGGGTCAGCTCGATGCACACGTGTTGGTGCGCGTCAAAAACGTGTCCTTGTGCCTGAAGTCCCAGGTGCTTGGAGTGTAAAAGAAAACAGGTCTTTTGGGTTCCACCTTCTAAAACTACATGTACCCGCCGCTTCGTGGGAGGACGCTGGTGTTCCTGAGCAGGACACCGCGGGGAGCCTCTTTCTAGCAGGTATAAATTGTCTTCCACCGGAGGAGCGATGCAGACGCGCGGAGTCAGTTCTGCTGTAAAATGAGGTTTTCCAGTTCATCTGCAGAGCGGAGCAGGAACGCCGCGGACTCCCGGTAGCCGGCGATGAGCTGCCGCACGGCGCTGATCTCCGTGGGGCTCAGCTGCGCGGCCTGCATGCCCCGGCTGCTGCTGTTGGCCGGGGCGCTGCTCGAGGCGCCCCCCTTCATGCTGAGATCGGTGGGACCTGCGGGCGCAAAGCGAGACGGGCTCAGGGGGAGCTGGAGGCTGCGCGGAGGGAGGGTTTAGCAGCAGTCGCTGCGCCCGGGCCAGGGCTTTATTGGACCTTTGCACCTGCGGGAGGTGCGGGGAGGCCCTGGCTGCGGGAGAGGCTGGGGCCCGCAGACACAA